TTCTCCCGTCCGCTCCAATACTCACCCTCGTGTCATGACCGACAAATCCTGGGGCTCCGTCAGCGGCGAATCAATGCCGATAGGCGAATCCGCCGACCCGAAACCCAATCTAACCAGCCCCCAATCCGATGTCTGGCCCCCTGCCCTATCAACCATGCACTGCATCCAGACCTCCACCCGCATCTGGACCTCTGCCACTCCTGGTTGCCCTCCACACCCTGTGGTCAGGCCAACACTCCCCTCCGACCTTGCTGGCCATCATGCTGCCCTTGTTTGTGATGGCACTGATGGACCACCCTCTGTTGTGGACTTGTCAGCACCGCGCTGATTTCCATGTCCCTTCACGGACCTGTGTCGGCACCGCACCGACCCCGCTTATTTGCGGACTTGTATCGGCGCCTGTCACGGCCGTGCATTCTGGCCCGTTAGCCGCCCGTCCTGATCCCGCCCGAGCCCGTTACCGCTATGCAAGCGTGAGCGCGAGCCCCGACCTCAGCCCTATCCTCCCTGAGGACCCCCTGCTCACTTCCCCGCTTGCCCCTAGGCTCCCCTGCACCTGGCCGACTCCCCCACAGCCACACCGACCTCCCTGCCCCGAGTCCGCCTCTGGCACCGACCTAGCGTGACTCCGCAACATCGCCTACTCCGCTATGATACCATCGCCGCTATCGCGGCCCTACACCCCTTCGTTTATTTATCTGTTATTGTTTGTTTTGACCCTCGGTCATTGCCGGCCGCTGTGCGGCCAACCCCGCTCTTTGTTCCTATCTGCTTCCGGACCCTTCGGCCTTCGGCCCGGGTCCGCTTCTATTCATTCTACCTTCATATATATATCCTGTATACTACATTATAGTACCTTAGCTCTAATATCGACTTGACCACGGCCCCAAGCCCTGACCCCAACAAGGCAGCCCCAGTAAGTTCGAAATGAGGGCCAAGAGACAACTAGGGGGCACAGCACTCCCTTTAGAGTTGCTGAGGCCAAATGCCCTACCCTCGGGCCTTGTCTGAGGCATCGCGGCCATCGCGGTCCGCATCGGCGACCTTCGGTGCCCAACCCCGGATCAGTATCTAACAGCGCTGCACACTGACCTCCGCTTTTCTCTGGCCATCTTGTCACTCGGCAGCATACCATTCATTCCTTGCCGAGTGCCTATATTGTTCATCCATTCATTCGCTTAACTTGCCAATATTGGCACTTGATCCATGTGCTGATGCACTTCTTATTACCTGTCAATATTGGCACTTGATCCACTTTTGTTTAGTTCATTGCCTCCCATTTCCCGGGCTCTTGTCCTTCATTCAGTTTGACAATCCCCGCTTATTTCCGCACCGGACCACGCCGGACTGACCGGTCCTTCTGTGTTTCCCTCCTGCCTATTTATATCCTGTAAATACTTTCGGGGACCTTAGTCTGAAATCAACTAGAGTACCCCCCCCTGTCTGGTCTGAGTCTCTCCTTCTGCAAAGGGGGCTTCCCCCCCTCTGAGTCCGTGCTCGCAGAGTCTGCACTCCTCCTACAGGTCCGCTCCGCCTGCAAGTCTTGTTTGAGGTCCGCTGTGAGTGTCAATCCGTAAATATGGGATCTCCCCCAAACGTCAAGCTCAGGGCACAGCGCTCCACCTGAGTCGCTGAGGCCGCGATCCCACTCTGCTAACCTTGAACAGCGCTTCCGGACGCACCGCATATTTCCGCCCGCATATCCGCGTGTGCGCGCTCCAACAGACCTCTGCATCACCTCCGACTCCGACAATAATCCAGCCTCTGACAATAATCCAGATCTCTGACACCTCGGTCCTGACACCTTTTCTCTCCTCCACACCTTTTCTCTCCTCCACACCTTTTCTCTCCTCCACACCTTTTCTCTCCTCCACACCTTTTCTCTCCTCCACACCTTTTCTCTCCTCCACACCTTTTCTCTCCTCCACACCTTTCCTCCTTCCTCCTTCCTCTCTCTCCCCTCTGGCCCTCTTCTGTCGACCCCCCGCCAAGTTACGACCTTCCACCGCTGTCCCGTACTTCGTACTTGGACACCACTTGTACCTTTGCTCCAAGCCTCTGTCATAGCTCCTACCTCGGACTTTGACTCCACCTCGGCCTTAGTCCATTGCATTGGTGACCTCATACTACGTAAACACCATTGCCAATATTCCTCGGACTTTCAACCCCGCCTCCGTAACCTCCGTAAGCTCTGCAACCTCCGAGCTCCACGGATCACCTTTGGCACTTTCGCTGCTTGTAATGTATCTCTCGCATTTTCCCCTCATCCCTATTTGGACTGCTGCTTCTTCCCATTCTAGCCAGTTAGTCATCATCCCCACTTCCCCTCATCCTCCTGCCCCTCTGGGCCTCGCCCTCCTTACCTCCTTTCAGACATACCACAGGTTCTGCCTTATGGCCTTCAGTACCGCTCTGCTTCAGTCTTCCCTTTGTTCCCGTTCGGACGCCTTCGTTCCGATTTGGATCCCCTTTGTTTCCTTGTGCTTTCGCCCTCCCATTATATATATCAGTGCCTGTACATACTCGTTTTAGGCCTTAGTCTAAAATCGACCTGAAATGCCCCCTAGAGACTTCCTGCTCGCCTCCCATGAAATTAAGGACCAAATGGACAAACAGCAATGGCACAGTGCTCCGCTTGAGTCGCTGAGGCCAAGGTCCCTCCTTGCTAAGTCTCCGGTTCCCCTCCAGAATTGTCCACCCTTGCCCAGTTCTAACACCTGACAGGTATATCAAGCATCGGCACTTTGGAGTAGGGTGAGAGTGATCTCCCTGTTGGATTATGAGTCACCAGCTGCTTCAGCAATTCCACCTCCATTGTAATCCGGTCTCTCCAATGCATCTGTGCACTATCCAACCCTTTGCATGGTATCATATATACACCTAATAATATTTGTCACTTATGGCCACTGCCCTTTGCAGTCCCACTTAAGTCCCCCACTATAGTGTGAGTGTAGCCGCTGAGTGCTAACACCTTACCAGGCTAGTCATAGCAACACTCCCTGAACCCACTTTGGAGGCACAAGTTATGAGCAATAGCTTGAATTCACAGTCGGTAGCTAAGTGATGGCATGATGTGGTGGGGTGGGGTTGACTGCAACAACGGTGCTGATAGTGATGGAGAGACTAATTCAGTGAAGGATCTGTACAGTTATCCGAATGGACATATGTATACTAAGCCCGAGTTTGGGATTTGAGTTTGGACTACTCTAAAGTACAGCTTCGGCCATCAGAGGCCTGTTTTCGAATTTAGCTAAACTGACAGTTTAGAACCAGTTCTGTCCAGTTTAGGTGCAGTTAAGGATCGGCAGTTTTGGTGCACTTTAGGCTAGTTTAGCCCATCGTGAAACCCCCTATTGCCTCAATGGATGCATGAAACTGCACAACACACCCACCAGGTGGAAGAGGGCCCTCACAGAAGAGGACCTCATTAGCATCCAAAGTAGCTTGCCCACCCCTCCTTCTCATGACAACATATTGTTCCTCACAATGGTGTTCACAGGCTGGCATTGCTTGATGAGGTTAGGAGAATTGGTGGATCCATTTTCGAAAAACCATTTCCCATTGCAGTGTTCATTTTAACAAACTCCCATGCCCACACATCTCATTCACATTACCAATGCACAAAGCGGATCATCTGTTTGAAGGGTCTCAGATCATGTTGGAAAGCCGTAGAAATCGATTGGACCCGTTAGTGGTGTTCGCTAAGTATTTGGTTTTGCACGATCAGCAGTTTCCTCACCTACCTGAGCTTTGGCTGATGAGCAAAGGAACAGTGCCAACATGTTCTTGGTTCATATCGTGCCTTCAATCGATCTTTCCTAACAACAATGTTAGTGGCCATTCGCTGCGATCAGGTGGGGCTACTGCGTTGGCACTTGCTGGAACTCCATTGACTCGCATCCAAGCCATTGGGCGCTGGTCTTCGGACACTGATCTATGTGCAGCAAAACCCAATCTTAATCCAAGGTACTCTCATGGGAATATCAGCCTTCGATGGCGCTGCTTTCTGATCAACCAGCCACCCGCCTTCACTCGATTTTCACACATGTGCTTCATCATCATCTCCTCCACCACCATCCACCCTCACCTCCACCATTGTTGGATTGAAAGGACACAGGTCACGCATCACACGCATGCAGCTAATTTCACATGGGCCCTTTGTGGCTGTTGCCCACTACCAGCAGTTGTTAGCCCTGATTAGTTGTTGTTTAGTGTCTTCATTTCATGAGACTAATCACAGGTTAGCAGTCTGCCCCCAGCTGACCTCAGGTTTCTGCCTGTCATATCCATCCACGGCCATCACCCTCGACCACCTCCACTCCTCCAGATTACCTCTGCTCCTCTGCCACTAACCTCGGAGCCTCCGGTTTCCGCAATCACCTCTGACCCCCCCAGTGGTCACCACCTCTCCAATTCAATATATTACCTACGCCTCCCTGAGTAAAGTACAGAGCCCTGAAGCTCTCCGGACAGCTCCGACGTCCGCTAGCACATTCCCACCTCTGCTGGGCAATTCACTTGCTTGCCCTGCAAGTCTACCTTTGGGCCTATCCCTCCTTTCTGCTTGTGGGTCATAACCCATCATTCCATTAAACCCGCAACCTGACTTGTCAGTAATATTCAGTCGGCTAACATCTATCCCCGTTAGCTCCGCTCCGCTTGGTCCCGCTATTCACGGGCCTGCCCTCGCTGTAACTATATATATACTTAACTTGTACACAGGTTACACTCCAGTGATAAAATCGACTAGACTTTAGTTCTCGTTGCCAGTAAGTAAATTAGGGCACAGACATGTAACTTGGCACAGTGCTCCTGGCCTGAGTCACTGAGGCCAAAGCCCTCCATCACAGAGACAACCCCTTCGTCTCGATCCGGTCTCTAACACTGCCCCTGTTTGCCACTGGCTGGGAAACCTGGCTGTGCCCAGTCACGACTGCTTTGGCATTCACATGCCTTCCCTCACTGGTCGCGGTTTTCTCATGATTTATTGTGCAACTTAGCTCTCCCTATTGCCTGGTATCTTGTGCTCCCCTGGTGAGTGAGATCCAATTTGCTGCTTGCTTTTCCGGGCTCACGCTTTTGACCCGCTGCCGCTGCTGCCACCTGCATATTACTCTATCCCGGATTTGCTGCCGCCAACACCGCAATTCTCAACTACATTCCCATCTGCTCCAGCCCCTAGCTTCTTTTCTTGTCTCCCTCCTCCTCCCCAATACTCCTCCTTTGCCATCTCTTCTTTTCGAACTTTTTCACATCGTCTGTTACTCTTTTTCTTCATTGTATTTCATCTCTGTACATTAGCTTCTGTTTGCTGTTTTAGTTGTTAGCACTCTCAATTGTGGCTGTCATCAGTTCTAGTAATTTTCCTGCTTTCCCTTTGTATGTACAAGAACGTGGGTCACGTGTCGTGCACATGCGGCTAATTTCACATGGGCCCTTTGTGGCCGTTGCCCAGTACCAGCAGTTGTTAGCCCTGATTAGCCGTATGTCAGGGCCCGGCCCTCGTTCTGCAATGGGCCCAGGGGGATCCTCCTAGTCGCTGGGGTATCTAGTCCCAGTCCGAGATCTTCAAACTCACTGAGGGGGCTAGCCCCAGCCTTCACAGGAAATGAGTTGAGAAGAAGGGTAACCTTCTCAACCTCCTGTGAAGCCGCTACAAATGGGAGTCGGGAACTATACAGTTTTCGGCTCTTTGCCGACTTTCCATAATTGGCACCCCCCCGTGGGAAGATTCTGGGCGAGCTGCTCGCCCAGAAAGTTCCCACGGTCGTGGCTGTGATGGTTTCTGGGCGAGTAACTCGTCCAGAACGTTCCCACGGGTCTGCATGCATGCGGGATTGTGGAACAGTGAAGGGAAAAATAGGAGAAAATGGGGGAAGGGTACCTGAGGGTGTGTGGGGTCAGGGGCTGTGCCCTGACACCGTAACAACAAGGGCATCAGAATGCCACTTCAAGACTTGTCACTTATATACCTATTTGGGTGGCCAGCCAGAACAAAAGGGTGCAGAGTAGGGGTCCGGGTGTGTAAGGGAGATAGGCCACATACTCGCAGCCCTCCCTATTCATTCCTTATCATGTCGGGTTTGTACCCAATGCGATACCTTCATTTTACCATGCGGTCCCAAGCCACACTAATTGTCAGAGACCGGATCGAGATGAAGGATTGTCTCCATGGCAGAGGGCTTCAGCCTCAGCGACTCAAGCCAGGAGCACTGTGCCAAGTTACACGTTGCAAGCGGGGTAGCGGAGCACACAAGGGGGATTGGGGACCGGTGTCATATCCATACAATCCTGACCTCCGCTCCAGGCTCCCGGAACTCCGAACCTGACTTCCAGAGTCCTGCTTCCCTTCTGCCACCTCCTCCTTGCCGACTTCCAAGAGGTTATCCCACCTCTGGCTCCAACACCACCTTTGGTCCGACTCCGGAACATTCCGGGTCCGACCCCAACCTCGACACCTTCCAGACGAGTATGCAACACCTATGCTCCCGACTCCGGACCTCCGCTCCGGAATCCCGTTTGCATCTCTGTCTCTGGAACCTCCGGTCTTAGCTCCGACCTCGGACTTTGACCCCACCTCCGCTTATACCCATTGTATTGGTTAGCTCATTCCATTTAATTACGTTTGCCAATATTCCGGAGTTTAACCTCTGAGTTCGGACTTTCCAGACTTACTCCGGACCTTGCAACTATTGCATTGTCCATTTCAATTCCGCTATTCTCCCTCATTCCTATTTGGGCTGCTGCTTCCTTCTATTCAGTCAGCTAGCCATTCCCGACTCCCATCCTCCTTCCTTCCTTCTTGGGCCTTGGCCCTTCATTCCTCCTTTGGGAAACACCATTGAGTCAAACACTTGACCCTCAGTGTTGTTCCTCTTTCCATCTCCCTTTGTCTCCTTTCGTCTTACCCTTGTTCCTTTTGATTCCGGACCCCTCCTTATATACAATGTACCTAGTAACTTGTAACCTCAGTCCGAAATCGACATGAATTCCCCCCAAGAGACTTTCCCTCTGCTAGATCCGAAATTAGGGACCCCTAGGACAACCAGCAATGGCACAGCGCTCCGCCTGAGTCACTGAGGCCGAGGTCCTTCCACACTAAGTCTCCGGTTCCACTCCGGAGTCGTCCGAATCCGCAAGTTCTAACAACCGGATAGGGAATGGATGCGCGGCACAGTGGTGCACCAACCTACCACCATGATCACCACCACCTCAACTACTTCGCACCACACCTACTCCCACCCAGCAGGATGAGAAACGAAAAAGGGGGGCTGTCATATCCATCCCCGGCCATCGACTTCCGGTCCCTCCGTTCCCTCCGTTCTAACTCCGCTCCTCTCTCACCAACCTCGGAGCCCCCATATTCCGCAAACCTCTCGGTACCCCTCGATGGTCACCACCCCCTCATTTCAATTTATTACCTACGCCTCCCTAAGTACGGAGCCCCGAAGACTTCCGGACAGCTCCGATGTCCGCTAGCGCACCCCCGCCTCCGCTGGGCAATACACTTGCCTGCCCTGCAGAGCCCACCTTCAGGCCTATCCCTCCTTTCCGTTTCTGGGTTAACGCCTGCCTTTCCGCTAACCCTGTGAACTGACTCGTCGGTAATATTCAGTCGGCTAATGTTTCAACCCCGTTAGCTCCGCTCCGTTCAGCTCCGCCAATTGCGGAACCGTCCCCGCTGTAACCATATATATATCCCACTTGTACATAGGTTACGCCCCAGTAGTAAAATCAACTAGAGTTACCCCCCTAGGTTCTAATTGCCAGTCAGTAAGTTAGGGCACGGACGTGTCACTAGGCACAGCGCTCTTGGCAGAAGTCGCTGAGGCCAAAGCCCTCTGTTACGGAGACATTCCTTCGTCTCGAGTCTGGTCTCTGACAGGGGCCAGTGTCAGGGCACACCCGCCTGACCCGGCTCCACCCGGCCCAACCTGACCCGGTACCCCGCTGGTCCACCCTTCCTTACCTCCTCCCCCTTTTCCTTCTTCCCCCCTCATCCTCCCCTCCTCAGTTTCTCCTTATCTTACTCCTTCTTTATTCTCCCTTTATTCCACATGGACGACTTTCTCTGTATCATTGTACAATTGACCCATCTGCAGCGCGCCCACCATGTACCCAGCCCGGGCACCTTGGGCGACCTCCCGCTGTGCCCAGCACGCGCGCCTGCACCGGATACCCTCAGGATCTCCCACGGAGACACCCGGGTGGTTACGGCTGTGTGCGAGGGTGACGTGGCACCCGTCATGTGATCCAAGCTGCATGTATATAAACGAACCTGAAGTGGGAACCGAAGAAGTAGCCTTCTTCTCAACCTTCCACTTCAGGTAAGCAGTACAATATCTCTCCTTTAATGATAATAACAACCTTCCACTTCAGTCTAAGTGGCCAGGGACCACTGTCCCACATCGGGCCTGTCAGTACGCACGCCCAATCCGCCCCCCGCCAGGCTCTCGGTCCCGGACGCTATACCCGGACCCCCTCGACCCTGGACGAGTCCCTGACAGCCAGCAAGCGGCTTCCTTGGACAGAATCAAGACCGAACTCAAAACTCAACTGGGACTCGGCATCCTATAACTTGGTGTGGATCTCCCTGAGGACACTGTGAGGCTTCCTTGCCTCCCTCAAGACTACTGCACTCAACCACGCCTCCAGCACACTTCACTTCGTGACCAGATCTAAACATAGCGGAGGGGAATCTCTGTTACAAATGTAACTAGCTAATTTTATATACAAACAACCCTGAAAACACGTCTGCGAGCTTCCAGCATGTTCCATATGACTCATCTGGTCACGTCGCAAGAGTAAATAGAATAGGAAACACAATATCACAAGCAACAAATTATAAAACAATAGAAAGTGGCTGCGGAAAACCCAACCTGCATCTCCAGCCCAAACCACTTGACACAACTGCGCTCCCTTCATTTTAACCAACTCGCCTAAACTACAGCTATCTAGCGCAACAAACCGCATCCAATTTGATTGAGAATTGAGTGAGATAGCATTGAGGTGGGGAATATCCGGAACATTTTCCTAACTTTCCAACCACATGTCTCCATGGTTCCAAAATTGGCACATCCTCCCAAACAGCCATACCATGAACAATGGATATTTATCCCCATTTTTATGAAGCCTGAGGGATGCCAGGGACCATCTGTGCACCCCATTTCCCACGTGTGTGCAATGAACATGTGACATGCATCGCGATACACAACTGAAATCTGCATATCTCTGTCAATATCTCACCGATTCTCCTCGCGTAACGTGCGTCGGAATTGCCTCAACATCCTCTTCCATCGGTACTATAACCTCATCACCTGATTCCTAGCCAAATTTCCACTGTAGGATTTTCTAACATTTTATCCTGCATGTGAGACCTGATATATCACCTGTTCTGGGGTGTCTGTGACCACCACCCCTACAACGTCCATGCCCTAATTTACTTACTGGCAACGAGAACTAAGGGGGATCAACTCTAGTCGATTTTATTACTGAGGTGTAACCTATGTACAAGTTGAGTATATATAGTTACAGTGGGGGCAGGCCTGTAAATGGTGGGGCCGAGTGGAGCGAAGCAGAGTGGAGCTAATGGAGTTAAACATTAGCCGATTGAATATTACCGACAAGTTGGGTTACAGGGTTAGCGGAATGGTAGGCGATAACCCAGAAACAGAAAGGAGGGATAGGCCTGAAGGTGGGCTTGCAGGGCAAGCAAGTGAATTGCCCAGCAGAGGCGGGAGTGCGCTAGCGGACATCGGAGCTGTCCAGAAGCCTTCGGGGCTCTGTACTTAGGGAGGCGTAGGTAATATATTGAAAAGAGGGGGTGGTGACCATTGAGGGAAGCGGAGGTGATTGCGGAATACAGGAGCTCCGAGGTTAGTGAAGAAGGAGCAGAGGTAGTCCAGAGGGACCGGAGGGAGTGAAGGACGATGGCTGTGGATGGATATGACACTAATCACATGTAATTACATTATGTATATATAACCTACATGAGAGGGGATAAAGGCTTCCCCAGCCTTTACTCCCCCATTGATAATATAGCTACATACAGCGTATATCTGATGGACTGGGAGTGTGAGGCAACACTTGACTATCACAAGATCACTCGCAAACTCAACCTTAACAACCTTACAGGGTGGATCGGATAGGATCAGATTAGGATCAGAAATCCCGGATTGGGACACCTCCCAATGGCCAATCCGGATCCACCAGATGAAAATCCCGGATGATCTAGATGATCCTGGATAATAACATCTCAAGACTTCTTTGTATTTTAACATGTATTTACCT